ATAGGCTCTTTCCTTTTTTCCCCTCATCCCTCTCCCCCTCTCCCCTTCTCTGGGCTTCTCCTACCCCCTCCCCCTGCCCTGCCCCTCCCCTCTGGGGGACCCTGTGCAGCTCAGAGCTGGAGGCCCCCAGGGTGGGCTCTGTAGTTTGACCGGGGCCTCCCCCGGGTACTAACTGGGGTCTCGGTGGTTCTGCCTGCCAAAGGGGGTCCTTATCCCCAGCTCCTCACCATACATGTGGATGACCTTGCTCCCTTGCCTGATAGTGACAAGGCCTCTTCTTTCACTTACTCTTCTCAGTTCTGAAGCGTGCCCTGAAGAGCAAGGCCTGGCGTCCTGCAGCCCCTCGGTCTTCTTCCCGCTGGGCTGCCCTCAGCCTGCCAGGCCTGGGACGAGTGTACCTCTGCCCTTTGCCCACTCCTGGCCTCTCTTAGCCATTAGGGAAATCCTTTCTACACTGCCTCCCTCCACATCCTTCTCCCCAAGTGCAGGCATTCCTAGGAGATTTTATAAACACCGGGGGCTGTATTGGATAGGCTTCTAGCCCCCAGGAGTGCCTGGTAAGTATGCCAGACATCAAGGCTGCCACGTAGATTTGGCCATTGACACTATTCAGCCAGTCATCTCCCCTATTTACAGACCAGAATGCTGAGATTTGAAGGGAGCTCAATCCAGGGGCACCTGGGTGGCTCAGTTGGTTGGGCAGCCGACTTCGGCTCAGGTCATGATCTCACAGTTTGTGAGTTCGAGCCCCGTGTCGGGGGGCCACAGAGCCCGACAGCTCAGAGCCTGGAACCTACTTCAGATTCTATGTCTCCCCCTCTCTCTGCCCCTCCCCTGCTCACGCTCTGTGTCTCTCTGTCTCTCAATAAAAAAACGTTAAAAAAAAAAATATTGAACGGAGCTCAATCCTCCCCCTCCCTCCAGGTCACACAGTCAGCCACTACTGCAGGAGGCTGCCCAGAAGCTGCCTTGTCCTGGAAGAGTGGGGTCAGGGAGCTGATGGAGCCAGGAGGACAGGTCTGGCTTCTTTCTAAGTATGTGGCCCTGCACCCATCCTTGCCAGGGGCCTCAGTTTTTTAGCTTATGGAATGGGGGCCCAGTGCCTGCACCTCCCTGGGTTCAGGCACATGGAGGTTACAGGGATACAAGGCTCTGTCCTCAGCCTCTCCCTCTCCTGCCCATGCCAGTCATCCTGAGGGCTGCAGCCCCTGGCTGCACGTGCCTCCTCCCAGACACTCTCTCTCCTCCCTGTCTTGCTAATTTGGCACTTAGAGACACTTGGAGATAAGCAGTGTCATCTCAATGAAGAGCATGGAAAATCACAGGGATGTAGGGAGCCAGCAGGTGGGCCTACCCTGTTGGGAGGGTGACCCACGGGCAACACTGTCTGACCAGGGAGGCGTTGCAGAGCTAGGCACCTGGACCCAGGCTAAAGGGAGCCCAGACAAGATTTGGTCAGCTTGCCTTTGACCCAGCAGGTCCGTGGATCCTGATATATCCCCCATACTTCCAAATCCCCCATGCCATTCTGCTAGAAAGAGTATGACTGTATCTGGCTAAGGTTAGCCTTGGCTTGGTGGGTGGTTTCTCCAGCCTTCAGACAGGAACTCCATAGGTGCATAGTTGACTCCTGGCCTCATTAGTCCCTTTTGTCACCCTTTGGAGCCAGCACTGGTACCCTAGCCAAACCCTGGAACCCACAGAATCTCTTCTCTGTGACAGTGAAATGATTTATCTATCATGTTCTATTTTATTTTACTTATTTATTTTTTTAACATTTATTTATTTTTGAGAGACAGAGCGTGAGTGGGGGAGGAACAGAGCAAGAGGAATACACAGAATCCGAAGCAAGCTCCAGGCTCTGAGCTGTCAGCACAGAGCCCAATGTGGGACTCGAACTCATGGACCATGAGATCATGACCTGAGCCAAAGTCAGACGCTTAACCGACTGAGCCACCCAGGTGCCCCTATCATGTTCTTTTTAATACTGAGACATACATATTGCCTTCCTAATTGGGTTTGGTTTAGGTGAATAATTAGAGTAACTTATTTTCCCTGGCATTATGTAGCTGGGGCCTGGGGTCTGTCCGTCAGGCCCAGGGTGCCAGACCAAGGGCTAGAGCCACCCCTAGATCCCAGGAGGATGTGTGTGTCCTGATGTGTCATGGGTGGACCAGTCCCTGTGGCCTACAGCAGAGTCTAGAGCTGTTTAGTCTGGGAGTGGAAGTGGGAAGATTGTATGTGCCTGTGAGCATGAGTGTGTGTGTGTGCGCGTGTATGAGTGTGAATGAGAGAGTGGGAGGGAGGAAGGGAAGAAAAGAGTGTGTGTGTCTTGGGAGGAATTCGACTTTATCCTGAGATTTGGCTCTTCTAAATTCTTTTAGTGTTGAAATAGTCTTTTTAGATGAAATGATGGTGATTGTAATAATAATGTGTTGTCTGAACAAAATAAAAACTTGGCATCCGTGTCTGTTCTTCCAATTAATTTTCTTTTACTTATCTGTGAGATCCTAGAATGAGAGACCTATAGATACAGTAGGAAAGAGTCAACAGCCTGGGGCCGAATCAGTGGTGTGCTAGTAAATGTTTACAAGTCACTTTCCAGGGGGAAAAACTGTGATTTGTGGCATTTACTGATTTCTGCAGTATAAATATTCCCACTATGGCCAATTTCAAGTTCTCGAAGTGACAGTCCTGAATGCAGAGCTGGGAGGAAGTGCACACTCTTGGCCCTTGGTGACTCTAGCATATGCGTGCATCAACTTCTGTGTTCACTTCTTGGGTGGGTGATCTTGGGCTAGTCACAAAAAGCCCCTGTGTCTCAGTTTCCTCATCTGTAAATTGGGGATGATAACGTTTGCTTCTTTGTGAGGACTGAAGCGAGAGAGCAGGTGGCATGCCGGCACCATTCCATGTGCATAATGGGTGCCCTTGTACATATTAGTCCCAGGAAGGATTATGATTGGCATTCGTCCCCTAGACCAGTGAATGGCTGAGGTCAGGGCCAGGGCAGAGCTAATGGTTCCCTTTGGAGAGCAGCTCCTTGACCTCACCCATTTTTGTACCTAGCTGGACACAGGACTGTGCAGCAACCCATCTCAACATTAGCCCCCCTGGGGCTCCGTCTCAGGAGCACAAAACAGCCACCTGCCCCACTGTCCATCCACAGCCAGGGCCAAACAATCAGCACCTGGTACACAGGCGCAGGGGCCAAGCGAGCTCTCCATTCTCTGCTGGGCTTTGCCCTCCTCCTGGCTAGCAGCTGATGCCTGATTGCCCTTTGTAGCCTGGTCTGCAGCCTGGCCTCCTCCTGGGCGTGGGGTTAGTTTTTTCCCCATGGTGGGGAGTGGAGGTGGGCATCAGGCTGTGGCTCAGCCAGCAACAAGCTGAAGCTAATACCTGTTTCTTTTGATGTTGATTTTTTTTTTTCCATCATGGTCCTGACATTCAGCTTGGCAAATTGCAATTAGTGATCCGCCCGCCTCCTGCTCCAAGTTCCCATGCCAACCGACCCGGGCACACACAATGGCACAGGCCCAGCCCCCCAGCCACAGGCCTGAAGATGGATGTGGGGCAGGGGGCTGGGGTGGCGGCTTAAGCTCTTCTGACCCAGGGAGCTAGCAGAGTCCTGGCCCTGAGTGGCACTGGGGAGTGTAAGGGAGGTAGCAGACCCAGGGCCAGACACAACCTCCTGGATCCTATGGCTTCTGGGTCCCTCCTCCAGAAGCTGGGGGGCTGGTATCACCCAACTCGTATCTTGCCCTGTGGACTGTGCTTAACCTGTGGTGTATTTAAATCTCTGTGGTAACCCTCCTATGAGCCCTCCCTGGAATGGCCTTGTTCTGCATCTGGTGGGTTGAGGAAGTTGAGATGCCTTTTCAGATGCATTAGTGCAGAGGCCTGTGTCACAGCAGAGAACACCTTTGGAAGTGTGGAGAACATCTCTCTGGCTGGCTTTTGTCAAGGACCGCTATGACTTTGCTCACCTGATCTCGTATTGCCTGAAGGAAGGGTCACAGGTTAGAACCTGGGCCAAGCCTCTCCCCAGATGCCATTCCTGTTCATGCATGTGGGCTGAGAATACTGAGCTGTGTGGCCATCTGTCCATCCTGTCCATTCACAAATATTCCTGTGTAACACCCTGCACCACCTGCTTTCATGTCCTTCTCATACCCTGCGAGGTGGCCCTAAATGATTCCCAATTTCTAGAGGAGGAAACTGAGACACGGATGGGGTAGTATGAGTTCACAGTAACTCCAGTGTGAAGGAGACCTGCTCAGGCAGGTGGCTTAGGTGAAAGACTCTGGAGGTGCCAGGCCTCCAGAAAGGGGTGGGACAGTCTGAACTGGACCTGTGGGTGGCCAGTTCATGCAGGGTGTGTATGTATGAGCTTCAGATAGCATCTGTTTCCCCGGGTGCTGGAAAGGTGAGGGCTGTCACCGCCCCAGGTTCTCCATATCCTTCTCAGTTGAGGCCTACAGGGGGCTGGGAGGGGGGCAGGCAGGGATCTGCCCCCAGCTACACAATGACTTGGTGGTGACAGCAGTGACTCCTGTTCCCTCCCCTTCCTCAGGCCCCACCCAGCCTTGGGGACAGGAGACTCTGAGATCCCAGCCTCCGCGTGGCTCACTCATGTCCCCCTCTTCCCTGGTGTCCAGAGTCCCCCTGTTCAGAGCATCCACATCAAGGGCTAGCTCTTCACAGTGAAAAATAGTCTCCCTGCAGGCTTCTTGGAGCTGCTGGACTCCCTCAGTGCATTTAAACTACAATCTGCTCTCCTCCCCGGCTGTCCAACAGTACGTGAGGAGAGCCTGGGCCACCAGGTCTAGTCTTCAAAAGGAATCATAGGCTCATTCTGCTTCCTAGCCTTTGTTTCTCCTCTAGTGAAAATTGACTTCTGAAGGAGTGGCTACTACTGGTTATGCCCCAGGTCACTCGGTGCTGGGCTGTCCCAGCACTGTGAGGGGGGGCCCTCCTGACACCTTTCTCCTCTATGCACACAGGATGCAGCACTGGGCCCGGCGCCTGGAGCAAGAGATCGATGGTGTGATGCGGATTTTTGGGGGCGTCCAGCAGCTCCGTGAGGTAAGCCCTGGTACCCTTTGCTTTCTGCTCAGAGACCCTTTTCTGAGTGGGAGTGGGAGAAGGACTTCAGAAATAAGGAGTGAGGAAGGTTTGGCATGGTGGGACACTGCTGGGCCCGTGGGGGCAGGTAGGGAAATAACTAGAAAATCAGTGGCTCCTCCAGGTCTTGGCCTGCTCTTCCCAGTACTGAACAGTATCCAGTGAGCTCCGATGTTGGGGTGTTGGGCTTTCGGGTTTTCAGGTGGGTGAGGTCTGTGTTTGACGCAGCACCTGAGGCAGGAGGGCAGGCCCTGGAGTGTTCAGGATGCAGTTGTGCATGGAGGCTGAGGACTGTCCATGCAATGAGTGGGGTGGCCAGGCCAAACAACAGTGGAGAGCAGTGCTGGCTGCTCAAGGCGCTGTAGCAGGAGATGGGTTGAAAGCCTGTGCTTGGCAAGTTGAGGGATCAGGGCAGGAGGGGTGATTGATTAGGCGCCAGCGACCACATTCATCCTCGGAGATTATGTTAATGTTTGAAATAGTGATGTGAAGAGCAGGCCATCCGTCACCCCCAGAAGGCTGCAAAATGTGTCGCTGTCAGGTTCCTGAGCCGTGGCTCTTTGTGTGGAGATGCAGAAGCTCTGAGAGCTGAGCTCTTGGAGTGCTTGGGGGGACTCCCAGGGACCTGTGGGACTTTGGGAGCTCGTTGCTAGAGGCTTGGGCCAGGACGCCTGACCAGAACCGAGCAGGGGATTAACAGGGTTCTTCTGCCGATGGTTGTCCCGGGAACAGCAGAGTAAACAGAGTTACTGTAGTTGGTTTAGCCAAGAGTCCAGGTCTTGACCCAGTGATTAGATATGCCTCTGTTTGTGTCATCCCTCTTGGTCAGGACTGGGATCAGCAGGTGTCACCTCTATGGGGAAGCTACCATGGGGTTTTGTCCTTGGTCCTTTCCCCCTGCTTGGCTTATAGCAGGCACTCAGGAAATAGGGGCGGCAGTGAGTATGTTGACACTGGCTGTGGATGTAGGACCTCTGGCACAAATGGGCCGATCAGGGGTGGCTAACAAGGTGGTAGCATGACAAGGAGAGAGAGTCCAGGTCTGAAGATCTCAGCCCCCAATTTGCTGGGTGTCCTCCCCGTAGTGGCCCAACCTCTCTGAACCTCCCAGCCCTGATTGCTGGGATTGAATTGCAGTAACCCCCATCCCACTCTTCCTGTGAACTCTCAGTGACTCAGCCGTACTTGGAGGCCAGCAGAGCTTTCTAGAGAAGGCACTGTAGGAAAAGCTGTTCCAGAACAGAAGTGAATTTATGCTCAGGCATAGCATCCGGCACTAACTAGGTTCTAAGTGGGCACTGCCAAGTGTAGCCTTGTAGGTTAATGAAGAAATGATAGTTCCCTAGAATGTGTGCAAAGTGCCTTTCCAAGTTTTGTACTGTAACATAAGATGTACCCCACATAAGGAGTTAACTATGCACCTCCGGTCAAGAACCTTCCACGCTTCGAATTCTCAGTGTGAGGACATTATTTATTTTATAGTCATGGACAACTCAGACCCTGATAGTTTGCCAGTGAGAAAATAATGCACACATTTCATGCATGCAATTTGGTTCTGTCTAAACCATTGAGCTCCCTGGCTGGTGAGAACCAGAGATAGAAGCCTAGCTCAGCACCCTACTGTGTGCTCCTGGGAAAGTCCTGGACCCTCTCTGACTCTCATTCTTGGTCCATGGCATAGCTGGGAAGTCTGGTTAGAGGACAAGGTGGTGAGAATAGCAGTGGATAGGTTGACACAGATACACCCCCTTTTCTAGAAATATGAATTCCCCTTACTGATCATTTTCATTCCTAGGATGTGTTGATCATTTCCTTTCTGATGGGAATTGAGTGATTCCAGACACTTTCGTCAACGAGCACATCTTGCCCCACCCCCACCTGGCCAGCCATAACCAAAGTCAGGCAGCCAGCTGTGGCAGACCTGAGACTTGGGATGGGACTCCTGACTCCTGTTCCAGGGTGCTGCTCCCCCTCTGGTTGCACCTCTTGGAAGGGTGGGCAGGATGAACCTGGGGAAGTGAGGAGCTGGGCTAGAGCAGGGGCCATGCTTGGTGTAGCTGTGGACTGCCTGGCCGCAGGCAGAGGAGTGCTGACCTGGTATTCCTGGCTGGCTCCTCCTGGCATCCCTCTCCCTACCGACGGGTGCCAGCTCTCCAGCGGCTCTCTGTCCTGCTCCAGTTTTTTCTCACTGCTACCTCAGCCTCTTACTTCCTGCTGACAGCTCTGGGCCTGCTTCTTGGCACTGGACACTGGCGAGGTGGGCGGCAGGGAAGCAGGTGAAGAATTCTAGAGGAAAAGGACAATCCCACGGGAGCAGGAGGCAGCCAGCCTCCCCACCCCCTACAGCCCATCCCAAATCTGACTGAGTCACCATGGCTCTCCTTCAAATGCACGTGAGAGGGCCCGTGTACCCAGCCTATGCCCAGCTCCGATGGGTCAGGAGGATGCTTGCAGCAGAGCCCTGACCCAACTGCAGACACTCCCGGGGATCCTGGCACCAGCTCTGCCAAGCTGACAGCCTCATTCCCCAGTGGCCTCCCCAGGTCTCCCTGAGCTGATTCCGTGCTACCCCCAAACACCCTATAGCCAGGGTGTCCTGGCATCTGGGCCCCCTTGGCCTTCTGCTGCATGGCTGCCCCACTCCCAGAAGCTGGGCGCTGCAAGAGCTGGCAGCTGCAAGAGTCCAGAAACTGCAGACAGTGGCATTTGGGAGCATTTTCCTTGACTTGGCACTTTCTTCCTCCTGACCTCATCACAACATCGTGGGGGCATGGCTAGGTGCAGACTGCGGCCCACTTACAGGTTAGAAGCCATGGCACACCTAGGTGGGATGTGGGGGCTCTGTGAAGACCGCATCATGTTTCCTCGTCTAAGCCCAGGTCCAGCACACAGTGGGAGCTCCTGCTGTGGCCTGGTTCTCACATGTCATTCCCACCCCCATGCTTAGCCAGACACTCCTAAGCCATGCCCGCCCTGGGTACCCCAGCCCCACCTCCCCCCAAGCCCTGGCCTACTCCTGATGTGAACAGGCCACGAAAGTGTGGACTGTATACTCTGCCCCCCCCAGAACCCCTGGAGGCTGATGATGGTCTCCCAAGCTCCTACTCTGCCCTCCCCCATCACCACCATATTGTCCCCATCCTCTGGGGCGAGGTGGGGGGGGGGGGTGCAGGGAAGAGCAGAGAGCATATGCTTGGGCTCTGAACTCATTTACATAATGAGGCTGATTAGGATGAATAATTCATCAGGTGCCTGGGGGTGCATGGGGGGAGGATGTGGAGATGGCTGGTCTCCCCACTTTGAAGACCAGGTCACTCTGATGGGTGTAGCCAGGGACCTACTGACTTTTGACTGGGTGTCCAGGTAGAAGGGGAACAACTCTGGGGACCTTGTGGGAAAGCAAAGCTGGAGAGATTGTAGTCAGACATGAGGAAGCATCAGTGGCTCATCAGGTGTGTGTCATCCTGAGATGGGTTTCTGACCTGGGTGAGACACCTTCTTTGCAGAGTTTCTAAAGAAGGAAGTAAGAAGATCCTCTCTCTGGGGTGAGGGAGGGCTTCCTGACCAGAGCTGGGCTGGGAACTGAGACCTGGGATGATCATGCCTGGGGTCCACAGGCCATCCTCTGAGAAGTGTCAAGTCAAGTCTAGACCCATCGGGGCCTTTCTCATTCCACATCAACCCCTCCTGCCTCACCTCCTGATTGGGGCAGAAATGGCTTAGAGCCCTGTCAACATCCCTGGCTGCTGCAGTTCCATGATGGCCTCAGCCTAGCTGCATGCTGCTAATTACTCCTGTAGTCCTTTCATATAAATGGGGAAATCAAGGTCCTGAGTGACAGTCTTCTCTAGCCAGTCCCATTCTGGAGCCCTGACAGGCCAATCTTAAGTAGTAGTGGGGATGGGGAGAAGCACCAAGCTAGAAGTGCAGGCCTGGGGCCTGCCTGGAGGAGCTACCCTGAGGCAGCCCCTCCCCTAAGCCATGGAGCTACATCCACAGAAAATAGGACCCTGGGACTCAGATCCCTAACCAAATCTCCTGCTCCCCTCCCCACTGCTGTGCTTCTCTGGACTGTCATGGTGATTCAGACCAATGGCATCCATGTGTCCTCACTTCTCTGGGTAGCCAGGAATGGCATTTTGAACCAGTGACGGTGCCACAGTCCCAGCCCATCTTGTCTGCCCCTGGCCATCCCTGTACCCCGTCTGCTCACTGCTCCCTGGGAATGTGTAATTAATATTTGCGCAGTGCCACATCTGGAGCTGGCTCCTGGCAAGGACCAAAGTCTGGCCACATCAAGAGTGCCTTTCCTGAGGGGCTCAGCAAAGTGGAAACAGGGCCCCTTCTTAGGTGCCTTTGAGACACGCCTCCTGCTGTTTCTCCAACTCTCCCCACTGACTGGTACCACCAATTCCTGAAACTCATGCATACTCACATACTGGTTTGGGGGCGCTGGCCAAGGCTGTTGTTGGCCTCCACTGGGGAGGGTCCTCTCTGGGCTTCTGGGCATTCAGGTGGGGTTAGCACTGTCCAAAAGTGCCAGGGAAGCTCAGAGCCCCAGAGGGAGCTGAGGCAGAAGAGAAAGAAGGAAGCTGGGGTAGGGGGAGGTGTCAGGGAACAGAACAGCCCCTGGAGGGTCAGGAAAGGGGAACTCAAGTGATTGTGACCCCCAGACCCCGTAGTTGGTCTTTCTGTCAGAGCACCGTGGTTCACATGTGCCCCGAGAGTCAGGCCTGCAGCTCCTTGGCCAGGCGGACCCCTACCCCCAACCCCTTCCCTCATCTTGGGGACCAGCACAGGTCAGAGTCAAGTGAGGGGTGGTGAGAGAGCCCCACCCAGGCTCATCATAACCTCTCCTCAAGGCTTCCAGAAGCCTCAGTCCTAGGGGCTCTGCTCTTGCTCCTCACAAAGCCGACACCCGTCCTCCAGCCACCTCCTAGTGAGTCCCAATGGAGCCCTCC